ATTGTATGTCAGCAACCTCCAATAATGGGACACCTGTACTCATACTTTATCTCAAGCTTCCTAATACCGAAATAAACACTCCATGCAAATCACGTATTGACATCAATCAGACTTTCTTTGATTTATGGCAAAAACAAACCCAATCAAGCAACATGTTAGTTATGAACTTCAAAATCAATAATCTTTTTGGAGCACCAACTCATATTCCGAACTTTTGAATCATAATCCGAACTTTAGATTGATTTTAGTGAACTCAATCTAAATGTTATTTATCTCTAACAATTAAACAACTATTATGTCATGTCACCCCAATTAGTACGTATTAAGAAGTGTTGGATAATTATGTAGCATTCATTTTGTCAATATACTGAATCAACCAAAACTTAACAAATTGGATTGGATGAACCTAAGCTATATAAGGATTGGACCTAAGCTTAACTATAATAAGGGGGCTCTTTTAAAAGTGGGACTCTCCATAGACTCTCTGCAACCTTACAGTTTAACGGTATTTTTCATGCCAACATAATAAAACATTGTGCCAAAAACATGAGGTGGCAAAGAGTACGACTTTTGAGAGAGTCCTTGAGCATTTCTTTGATACAATAATAATAAATATAACCATGTTCCAACTAATAACATCATTTTTTAATATAAACGATATTTCTACTCTAAGCTGACCAAGGTGAAGGGGGAGGGGGAGGGGGATGGTCAAACTTGGGACATAGTGGGTTGAAGAGAAAAACCCTAACCTCACCATGACAATCGACCACTTGCCTAACATCGTTTTTCAGTAGACATTTGTTTGTGAGTTGTTATGAACACTCCATGAAGATCATCTTGGACTTCTAATTTATTTAGACATTAAATTTTTTTTGTCATAGTGTAGAATGACAATTTTAGAGTGCCAATAATAGCACCCAAAATACTAGCAGAAAAAAATTTGTACAAGGAGTACAATACATTTTTGTTAACTACATTGAAATGTTTGGGAATTAAAGAGAAAATTAAGAAGAAACAATGAACAGAAGGATGAACACAGAGGTTGTAGAGAGAGAAATATGATTTGTATTGACTGAAAGAATGAAGATTACACACTTTGTTTTTATACTAGTAAACCTAACAACTCTAACCAAATACTAACAAATTTGCTAAATATATTTCTAATTGTATTGCTGACTTGTACCCTTAATACTCCCCCTCAATCTCAACTGGGGAAACCCAGTTTGAGATTGGAAGAACATACCTACAATCACTGCTATGAAACCAGAAAACAGAATACAGAGTTGAACCATCTACAATCTTGCAATCCTTATTCATCAACCTCAGATTCATTCCATGTCATAATATCTTCATTTATATCACCTTGTTTCATATGAAAACCATTCTCATCCGAGTTATTGAGCAAGTGATCTTACTGTTGTAAACACCTTCCAACTTGATTATGATGCACATAAAGACTAGTGACTGAAAGTTGCTGAGATAATAGCAGAGCTAAATCGCTATCTTAAATATGGGAAACAAAGCTGAGAATCATGACTGGAAGTTCCGCTCGCTGATAACACTTGTTGCTTCTATTCCCATTCAGTTGAAGCCAAAGCCAAGAATTGATTAAACTCTGACGATTGTTGGTGGAAGCTTAACAGCCCTTCCTGGAATTTCAGATATGATTGATTATACCGTGGAATCCATTGTCATAGACATGCTCCAGTGGCCACATAGGATTGTTGTTCCAAATGGTGGTGTGCCTGTTGATACAAGTGAAGTTGTTGTATACATTCGTCCACTGTTCAAGGTTAAGACCAAGGTTATAAATAACAATCTGAATCCTGTTTGGGACCAAACATTCGAGTTGATTGCAAAAGACACTGATGTCTACACCTTTGTAGCTACTGCAAACCAAATTACACCCCTTGCATATACAATCTTCCCATCCAAAAAATCCAATATTCCTTTGCCTCTCGCAGGAGCTTCAATCAAAGAACAGCCTCTTATAAAGTTGTAACACATCCTCATGTCGGTTATCACAATTTCTTGCAGGATTAACCTTTGTGGGATTTACCGTCAACAATCTCATTCAACCTGGCTTCGGCCTTTAATATTTGCAAAAACAGAAAATTAACAAACTATAGTGTAGCATCGACCTTAACTATAGCACCACGGGATCACCCTTTGTGGATTTTACCAAAAAACTTCTTTGAACAATGACATCGACCTTCACAATTTCAACAACAGAAAATCAACATCTATGTAGATTACCCTTCATGGGATTTACCTACTCACATCATGGAATTACTCTTCGTGGGATTTACCGTTAACAACTTCTTCTACCTTTCTTGGGTTTTACCTATTCACATCATGGAATTACCCTTCGTGGGATTTACCGTTAACAACATCTTCAAGCACTTCATCATATAACCGGACTTATAATAGATACATGCTAACAATTGAGCTGGTTAGACTCGACATTATAGGCTATGATAAGGAAATATATTGCACAAACTCCTCAATAAGCACTTGAACAATCTTTTCAGACATTACACTTCTCATTTTGGCATAAACCATAATCTAAACAACCATAAACTTGTACATGCCAGAATGCAAGAATTCACACTCATTTCTCCAAATATATCAAGAGTTGCAGAATATCAGTGAAGCAGAGAGACAAAAATTGGACATCATACATATTGCACAATACATGATTATGAAACACTTAGCAAATCAAATGGAGGCCATCACAAACACTAATCTTGACACAAATGTCACAAACAACTGGAAGAATCCAGAAAAGATTCACAAGAAAGATGACTTTGAGCTCTTTAATACTCAACATATCAACTGAATGACTTCATGCCCATAACAACAAACTAATTGATTCACATAATACTGAAAGAATCATAGTAAGAAATTCAGAAGAAGTGGCTGATAAACTTAACCTTCACATGAAAATTTTGAGTTGGGCATTTCGGCAAACGATGAAAAGAAGCCCCCCGATAGGCCTGACGGAGAACAACTTGCCACCTACCTCTCTACCGACAACCCCTGCCTCGATCTGATAGAGCTCAGGGATAAAGCGGTGCAAAAAACTAGAAGCAAAGGAAAAGGAAAATAACTATAACATTAGATTTTCATTCATGCCTTTCCCAAATGGAGAAAGAAGGTTTAAATAGAACCCTAAAGGCAAGTGCACCAGATTGGAACACATCACCATATTCTTTACCGTTGGATAATACCAACTCCTACTAGGATAAAACAAAAGCATTCATAAAGGACAGCTGCCACATATTTTTGTATCGTAACATTCCTGCCCCCTAAGAAAGAGCTTGTCCTCAATCTTTTAAATCAGGGAAGCAGTCAAGAATGGCATCAGCATCCTCCCAAGTGGCATCGTGTTCTGGTAAGCCCATCCATTTGATCGGCCAGCGTGTAACCGCGTGATCCCCGCGCTTGAAGAGGCCTAGCTGCAGAACAGATTTTGGTGTCCAAGCCACCAAGCCAATGTCCGATAGAGGGGGAAGGGTGGAGGAAGCCACAACATGAGAGCCAAGCTTGGGCTTGAGGAGAAAAACATGGAAAGTAGGATAGATGCGCGAGTCAGGAGGCAAGTCCAAGGTGTAGGCCACATTCCCAACACGAACGAGGACTTGGTAGGGGCGGTAAAACCGAGGTGCTAACTTAGGGCAATTGGTGTGGTTGACCGAGGACTGGCGGTAGGGTTGGAGGCGGAGGAAAACCCAATACCCACTTTGAAGTCACGCTAAGAGCGCTTCTTGTTGGCAGAGTGACGCATGCGGTTCTAAGCAACCTGCAAATTCTCACGAAGAAGGTGGAGCAGGGCGTCGCGGTCTCGAAGTGTAGTATCCACGAGGTGCACCAGGGAAGAGCCGGGCAGGTATGAAGAGACACGTGGTGGAGGGTAGCCATAAACAGCTTCGAAATGAGTCATTTGAATGGCTGAATGGAAAGTGGTGTTGTACCACCATTCTGGCCACGGCAGCCACTCAACCCAAGATGAGGGTTTGTCGCCTACAAAGCTACGGAGGTAGTGCTCCAAAGTCCTGTTCAAGACCTCAGTTTGGCCGTCTAACTAGGGATGATAGGCGGAGCTGCGGCAAAGTTGAGAGCCATTGAGCTTGAAAAAGGATTCCCAAAAATGGCTTATGAAAAGAGGGTCATGGTCGCTGACAATTGTTGGGGGCATACCGTGGAGATGAAACACCTCACGTAGAAAGATGTCGGCCACCTTGGCTGCCGAGTAAGGGTGTTTGATGGCGATAAAGTGACCATACTTGGAGAGTCGGTCGACCACCACCTAGATTGCATTGCGGCCCTATGTGGAAATAAGGCCTTTAATGAAATTCATTGCAATGTCGGTCCAAACTTGGGATAGGATGAGCAATGTCTGGAGCAACCCCGGGGGCTTGATGGATTCATAGTTGGTACGCTGACAGGTATCACAAGTGGAGACAAAGTGCTTCACTGCCTTCTTAAGACTTGGCCAATTGAAATTTTGGCGAACCCGTTTGTAAGTACGACGAAAACCCGAGTAGCCGACTGTGGGGGAGGAATGGAACTCCTGGAAGATACGAGTACGCCAGGGAGACAATGCCACTACAAAAATGCCGTCTCTGTAGTAAAGAATATCCCCACAGAGAGAAAAATGGGCCCTTGTCGGCTGAGAGTGGTGGAGTGCTTTGAGAATCGTGGAAGCCTCTGTATCGTGGCCATATTCAGCCTGGATGTCTAAGATACTATCAAAGATGGGTTGGGAGAGACCCATAAGGGCCAGGCACTCATGTTGCCGAGATAAGACATTTGCAGCTGTGTTCGACGACCTAGGTCGATATTCAAGTGTATAGTTATAACCCAACAATTTAAGTAGCCATTTCTGTTGGGTTGGGGAAGTGATTCGCTGGTTGAGAAAATACTTCAAGGTTTGGTGGTCTGTTAGGATTTTGAATGGGTGCCCAAGCAAGTAGGGCGCCATTTTTGGACCGCATACACTAAACAGATAGAGCCTTATGTTTCTCGGCCAATGATTTGCTGAGGAAAGCGATGGGATGGTGGTGTTGAGAGAGAACAGCCCCTAGGTCGACGTCTGAAGCATCACATTCAATGGTGAAAGGCATGGTGAAGTCCGGAAGCACCAAAACCGGTATGGATGTAAGGGCCTGTTTAAGGTCCAAGAATGCCTTATCGGCCGTGGAGTTCCACTTAAAATTATCTTTCTTCAGAAGATCGGTCAGTGGGCGAGTAAGTATCCCAAAGTTGCGTATAAATTTGCGGTAGTAACCCACAAGGCCTAAGAAGCCGCATAAACCCTTGAGGGTACGAGGGTGAGGCCACTCCAAGATGCATTGCACTTTCTGAGAGTCAACGGCAACCCCTGCAGCCGAGATAATGTCTCCAAGGTACGCAACGGAGGATTGGCCAAAAGAGCATTTCGAAGGCTTGACTTTCATGTGGTGTATGCGCAGAACCTCAAACACCGAAACCAGGTGGGTGAGGTGTGTCTCCATGGTTGGGCTAAAGACGAGGATATCGTCGAAAAACACCAACACAAACTGTCGTAGGTATTGTTTGAAGACAGAGTTCATGAGGGCCTGAAATGTGGAGGGAGCATTGCAGAGACCAAATGGCATAACTAGAAATTCGAAGTGCCCAGTATGTGTTCGAAAAGCCGTTTTGGGGATATCCGGTTCATACATCCGAATTTGGTGAAAACCCGAACGGAGGTCCAGTTTGGAGAAAACTGTGGCACCCCGTAATTCATCAAGTAGCTCATCGATCACCGAGACGGGGAAAGGATACTTGACCGTGACCTAGTTAAGGCCGTGGTAATCAACACAAAACTGCCAAGTACAATCATCCTTATGGACCAACAATGCAGGGGACGAGAAGGGACTCGAGCTAGGGCGAATCACGTCAGCAGCGAGCATGTCCTCCACCTGACGTTCCAGCTCCGCTTTCTGAGCATGAGCATAACGATAGGGGCAGATGTTGACTAGATGGGTGCCCGGTAATAGGGTTATCCGATGGTCCATGGGTCTAAGAGGTGGAAGACCGGTTGGAGGTGTGAACAGGTCTTGGTAAGTATCCAGGAATTGCTCAATAGGTGGTGAAGTGGGTTGTGCGCCTGCCTGAGATGGGGGAGCATGCAACAAGAAGGCAACCGAATGACCCAAGACCCCACGCGGAGACACAACAGGGGATGAAGGGGGGTAGGTAGTCGTATCGGGTGAGCGTAGGCCCATCAAACGGTAGTTAGTGCCGTCAATTTGAAACTCCATAATTTTGTGTTTGAAATGCCATCCAATGTAGCCAAGAGATTCCAGCCATTCGGCTCCGAGGACCAAATCACATCCCAAGACTGACAAAAGACGTATATCCGAAGAAAAAACATAATCTTGGACACGGACCGAGACATTGCGGGCAACTCCTTTAATGTAACAGAGGCGACCATTAGTTACCGTCACGGGTTCCACCACAGAAGGATCAATGTCGAGGCCAAGGCTGGTGGCGACGACAGGATTGAGGAAATTAAGGTCAGCCTTTGAGTCCACAAAAACCTAAATAGGACAAGTGCCAATAGAGCCCAACAGGCGCATAGCCCGACCCCGAGTGCGTTTGGGAGAAACCAATGCATTGAGGGGAATAGGAATGGGTTCCTCCAGGTAGGGTTCATCAGGAGCTGAGGGAGGATCGTATGTCTCTGTTTCGGAGGCCACCTAAGAGATGGCGGCGGCGTCGAGAATGAGCAGATGAGGGGTTGCACAGGTATGACCTGGAAAGTACTTGTCGGGACAATAGAGGCATTGGTCGCGGGCATGACGCTTGTGAACCTCCACGGGTGAGAGGCACAATGGTGGCCGAGCCGAAGGAGATGGAGATGGGAAGGGTGGGGTTAAGGTGGGTGCGGAGGAGGATGAGGGGGACCGGGGGGAGAATGGATGGAAAGGGCCCCGACGGCATTGGTGTTTGTTATCGTAGATGCGGGCTAGTTCGATGGCCCGGGCCAAAGAGCCAAGAGCTTGGGGCCAAAACATCATCATGAAGGTCCACTTTAAGCCCCCCAAGGAAGACCCCTAGGAGCTGGGAATCAGACCAACCTTGGGCCCAACAGGACAATTTGATGAAATCATTGATATAAGTGTCTAAGAGGCCTTTCTGGGAAACATGGGAGAATGACATATTGAAGTCCAATTGGTCACCCGGCCCAAACCTTTGGAGCAAGGATACGGTGAAAGTGGACCAAAGCCCAGACCTAATATGTATCTTGTACCATTTGAACCACAGTGCAGCATCCCCCGAGAAATGGAGCCTCGTTATTGTGACCCTGTTGGCAATGGTGACCTGGTGATAATCGAGATATTCCTTCGCGAGTGCTAACCAGCTATAGGGGTCATCACCGGAGAAATGGGAGAGTTCGATTTTCATATGTTTTGGGCCAAGGGAAGGAGGTGGTGCTCCAGTAAAAAAGGGTGAATGATGGGGAGGATGAAAGGAAAATGAGGGTAAATGGGTCCGAATGGAAGTGGTAGTAGTCGAGTGGAGAGGGGAGGTAGGTAGGTAGCTAGTGACTTGATTGGGTGTATAGGGAAGGGAAGATGAGCGGAAGTAGAGGGAGCCCCACGTTGAAAGAGGGCCAGCGGAGAAGGGATGAGAGGGAGGTGGAAGTGGGGTGGAGGTCGAACTCAAGGGGATATGAAGAGAGCCAATCGGAATCTGGGGGATGGTGGTGAGTACGGGCAGGGGTTGCTGGGAAGCGCGGATCTCCTCCATCAAATGACTCTATACGAGACTAATATTGGCCAAAAAAGCTTGAATATCTGTCAGATTCGACTGAAATGACTCCTGGCGAGTGGCGAGTAGAGACACCGAGTCATGGAACCGTTGAGCTGTTCCAAAATTTGGTGTTATTGATAATCGAGTTCCAAATCAACCTCCGTCACGTCGGCCACGACCATGGAGGCCTTGCTCTTGCCTATGGACGGTAGCAACCTGTCGTTGATACCAGATGATAGAGCTCAGGGATAAAGCGGTGCAAAGAACCAGAAGGAAAGGAAAAGGAAAATAACTATAACATCAGATTTTCATTCATGCCTTTCCTAAATGAAGAAAGGAGGTTTAAATACAACCCTAAAGGAAAGTGCACCAGATTGGAACACATCACCATATTCTTTACCGTTGGATAATACCAACTCCTACTAGGATAAAACAAAAGCATTCATAAAGGACAGCTGCCACATATTTATGTATCGTAACACGGTCTCTTTTTATTTTTCCACGTGGTGCCTACCAACACAAATTCAGTTATGGTTTCACGGTTGCGGAATTCGATTCAGGGATAGGAGAGAAGAAGGAAGGAAATTGAGTCCCAAGTAAGCAGTTGATTTTGTTTCTTGAGCGAACCCTTCTTATCGATCTTTCTTTTCCCCAGCTCCACATTCTTAGTGGCTCTTTCACTCAGCTGCAAATCGAGTTCTATCAAGGCTGCGACAGGAGGAAGAACAACGTTCTTGTTGGAGGAAGTGAGCAAAAATGGATTCCCAATCGCCATATCTTTAAGTTTTGCCTGTTGAACTTGAGTGTTATCAATCAACTTAGGAACATAACGATCATATTTTCCTTGAACGGAATCGGACACTTGCCCATAAGCTGATGCTTTTCCTTTCCCGGAATCTGACATTGTCCCAGAATATTTTCTTTCTCAAAACTCGATCGACTGAAATATGAAAAACTGAAAAATTCCCGAATTCAAGAACGGAAAATTCAAGAACTAAAAATCAACCTAGAAGTTGACGGAATTTCTGAAGAAAATCTGAAGAGAAATAAAACTAGATGAAATCTAATAAAAAAGAAAAAACGGAACCACCAAAATCCATGGCGTGAGCCTGGTGGCTCTAATACCATGTTAACTACATTAAAATGTTTGGGAATTGAAGGGAAAATCAAGAAGAAATGATGAACAGAAGGATGAGCACATAGATCTAGAGAGAGAGTTTAGAGAGAGAAATATGATTTGTATTGATTGAAAGAATGAAGATTACACACTTTGTTTTTATACTAGTAAGCCTAACAACCCTAACCAAATACTAACAAATTTGCTAACTATATTTCTTGCTGACTTGTACCCTTAATAATTTTTATATTACCAGAAAGAACTTGTATAAGGAGGTGTACAATACATTTTTATATATATTTGTCGATGATAACATCAAAGTTTTTAGAGAAAAATCCTTCATTTTGGCATCTCTTTCATCCTTAGGAGTAAGAAGTCAAGCGTGATATCTCTTATTACATGTCCATCATATAACAAAAGTTAACAAAATTTTAGAAAATGCCTCTACAATAAACATAAGTAACAATTACAATGACTTTCAAGCCATATATAGCCATTAAAGTTAAGAAGGGTGGAAATATATTTCAAAACAAAGACGAAGAAAAATGGTATATTACATGCACAACCAAAAGGATTTCAAAACAAGTTGTAATTGCTTCTACTTCAATTACACAAACCAAAAGCAAACATATATCAACTTCATTTTTATTATTGCTTCGCAAATGAAATAAAACCCATTGTAAAATTACATCAAACTGGAACGGTTCTAGCAGAAGCTGCCTGCTGCTCTGGGGCCTCGTCTTCTTCTTCATTCTCACCTGTCAACTCCTCAAGTGATTTTCCCTTGGATTCCGGCACCAAGAATGTAAAAACCATGCCGAAAAAGTTGATCACACCAAGCATAATTAGAGAATTCTTCACACCAATGCCAGGTGGGTAGCCTGCATCAGTCTTTGTAGGATTCTTGTCTTGTGCTGCATACAAAAACCCAAACGCCCCAACGATTGCTCCAGCCTTCCCGGCTGCAGCTGATATTCCATGACATGTAGACCTCAAACGCGCAGGGAAAATCTCAGCGGGTACAACAAATGTGGTGGCATTGGGTCCGAAATTGGCAAAGAAAAAGGTGAATGAGTAAATCACAACGAACCCAATATGGTTGCCCTTTAGGGTCCAGTGGTGGTAAGGAATTGCCAAAGCAAACATGAACACAGTCATGAAGAAGAATCCCATCAGTTGGATTGCAAATCTGCCCATGTAATCAATGAATGCAACAGTGAACCAGTATCCAGGGACAGTGCTGCACATAGCTATTAGGGTTTGTGCTCTTGCAATTCTGTACACCTCATGGATTGCATTCATGCTCTCTGCTTTCGGGATCCACCCAATTGCGCTAAAGATGTCTTTTTGGAACAGATTTTGGCTGTAGAAGGCAATGTCTAGCAAGAACCAAGTAGAAGTGGTGCCAAGCAAGTGAAGACCGTGGCGAGCAGCGAATTGCTTGGTGAACAAGCCAAAGCTATTGGACTTCTCTTCAGTAATCTTCTCTAGTTTCTCATCTTCAGCTTCAAGCTGAACTTGGAGAACCTTAGACATGTCTGTGGCAGCCTGCTTAGCATTTTTCGCTACGAGGGCTGTGTAACGAGCTGTCTCAGGCATTTTCATACGCCAGTAGTAAGTTAAAAGAGCAGGAAGGGCGCCAACCATTAGAATGATACGCCAGACAAAGTCGGCTTGAGGTGCAAGAGAAGCACGTCTGTCCACAGAGTATGCAGGAGCCTTGAAAGCGTGATCAAACGCGGATGACACAATCAAAGCCACAATCCCACCAGTCAAAATCCCAAATCCTTGCATGGCAAACACCGCAGCAATAAATGCCCCACGAGTCTTTTTATTGGCATACTCGGACATGATTGTGGCTGAGAGGGGATAGTCACCACCAATGCCAAACCCAAGCCAGAACCGGAAGAAACAAAGTGTGGAGATCACACTCTTTGGATGATCCGAAAACGAAAGACCTGACGCAACGGAGCATAAAACCATGAGAATAAGGGTCATACCATAGACCTTTTTTCGACCCATTTTGTCTCCGAGCCAACCAAAGAAGAGCTGGCCGGCTAAGGTGCCACATAGAGCCACACCGTTAACAGCAGCAGCCACATTGGGAGGCAATGTGCCGGGTTTTGGGTGAGTTAGGTCGGTGTAGTAAATACGACCGAGTAACTTGGACACCAAGGAAATGCAGAAGAGATCGTAAGCATCAGTGAAAAATCCCATTCCAGCAATCACAATTGCTGTGAAGTGGTACAATTGAGTCTTGGCCACATCTAGTGCATTAAGCACTCCCAATTGCTCTCTAGCCATTGCTTGCCACAAGGATTAGTAATTGTCACAACTTATAACAATGTTAATCTTCCTCTCCACTAGTTCACTGTAAATTAAGTTCATCTGCATAAGAAAAAGGAGTAATGATCAACTGAAGCAAGAAAATAGAAAGAAAATAAACTACATGTGCAACTTAATTGAGCATATGATAAATAAATAAAAAAAAATCCCATCTTTATTGTCACAAATTAAAATCCACAACCTTTGTAGAAGCATATCAGTTAAAAGAAAAATTCGCTCATGACTATTTGAACTAATGGAGAAGAAACTTCTTTTTAATCCTTTAATAAGATGAAGTCTAGATTAATACCTGGTACAAGATTTAAAATTGAGTTGAGTCCCTTGATTTTATTTAAATGCCAACATTTATATACCATGTCATGTTATTTATTTATTTATTTGTAATTTCCGGATTTTTCTTTTCCTAAGTTTGCACTAATTCATTAAAATATATTTCGGTACAGATATTTAGTACAGTAATTTATTATAATTATATTTCAGTACAAACATCTAGATACACTAATTTATTATAATATAATTCGATAATATTTAAGTACAGACATTTCAATATAAAAAAATCAATTTAATATATTCACTACTATAATTTCAGGACACTTATGCAAACATTTCTCTACACTTATGTGGTGGCATGAAATAAAACACATTAAATAACAAAAATAGAATATAATTTTAGTAAAAAGAAACTTCAAAGAATTAAAATCAATACGTAATCTAACACTTTTTTTTTTAAATTTCGATCTTTTTTATATTTAATGTTCAAAAGCCCCTTTGTTTTTCTAGTATTGAATCATATAGTCCGTGGAGTGGAGACAAAAGGGAGCGTACGATATTGAATTTTCAAATTCTTGTCTTTTACTCACTACAGGCCCGCATAAATTAAATTAATGGGAATTTTATTCACTGCAGGCCTGCATCGATGAAATTGATGGATCAACTACTTGGCTAAAGCCTAACGCATGTACATACTTGTGTTTAAAGCAATAATTTTGGGAAATTAACTGTGGTTAATAACTGACTTTCACACACTAACAGTAAATTTGTTCTAAAACGTCACTCAATAGGGATATTTTTGTTTTTCAAATATTGTTTTAAAGTGTCAATTAGGGAATTCTTTAACAAGAGGAATCTTCATTTTTCAAAAAAAAATGGAGACACTCTCTTGACTGTTGGATTTGGCTTTAATGAAATTGTGTAGTTGAGATTGTATAGTCTGTGATTTAATCTCAACCACACAATTTCATTAAATATAATCCAACGGTCAAGAGGGTGTCTCTATATAAAAAAAAAAATGAGAATCCCTCTTGTCAGAGCTGTCAATAGTGGCATCTCTCTTTTAAAATCAAAGTCTCAAGTCTCGTCTCCTATAGATGGCTGCAAATTACCAAAAGATACAGCAAACTATATTTAAGTATCTCTCGCCCTAACTTCTCAATTATGTAGTAAAAAAATCCCTCGTTCCAAGATGGCATCACTGTATATATATAATACAATTAACCCATAGTAACCTTTTGTTTGTAGGAAATGAGTCTTTTGGTTTTGACATAGCAGAAGTTATATGATAACGAGATCACGAACGGGCATCTTTGTAGCTTTGGAGCTCCAGGGATTTGAGAGAAACTCTCAAATTTCAATTGAATAATAGACAAATAAAATACAACCCTAAAGATGTTTCTACAGTCTTGGGAAAAAACTAGAAGCAAAAGCAAACAAAACAGGAAAAAAACAAAAATACCAAAAACATCGTTTAAAAACTTAAGCACCCTTGTTAACCCTTCAGTTCAAACCGTAATTAAAATATCAAAATTCATCTCATATCTTGGCAAAGCTATGAGTTCTGGAAAGATATCAGAAGTCCAAATTGGACACCGAAAACTCAAAAAACTCTATTCACGCAGCTATCCTGAATTTGTCATTTGAATCATCTCTTCCATTGGCCAAAGAAAAAATCATCTCTTCCATTGCCCAACCGATATAGTAACTTTTTGGTTTAACCCAACATTAAGTGGTTTCAAAATATACCAAATTTGTGCATTTATTTTGACCTTGATAGTAAATATAGAATTAAATTAAAAAATTCATAATTATATTTATTTATTTAGCTATGATAATTAAATATCTAAAATACTTTTTTTTCCTACTCAAAACACTTTTTTTTTGTTGTTGAAATAATATATAATACAATTTTATATCTATGAAAAATATGTAATTAACATTTTCATTTACCTATAAAAGGGATACAAAACAATTATACAAATGAAAATATTACTTCATACCAAAGATACCAAGACAATTATATACTTAAGTCAAAGATTTATAAGCATTTAGCAAATTTTAAGACATGTAGAAGCAAAAGAAATATATATTATCTTTAGTTATTGTTATCACCATGACAAACTCCAAGATAAATTATTCCTCCATATAAGGTAGAATAATACGGACAAAAAGAAAAAAAGTTGAAGAACTTATTATGGAATTGACAATAAGCAATAAATTTATGTTTCTATCCATTTTTAAATTTAGGGACAGATTGAGAATGAAGCATCTGACTAATTTTAATAAAGTTGACTATTCTAATATTCACTAAAAAAAATGACTTATATCAAGTTTTCTCTTATCTATCACACGAAAACGGAAAGTTATGCTAAGCGATATAGTAGTTTAAATCAAAAACGAAAGTTTTCTGGGTTTTTCTAAAATACTCTAGAAAATTTGGGCTAAAATCTTTTCTATTGAAGGAATTAAAGACAGAAAGGTGGAACAAAAGGCCTGCATGGGGATGACTTGCAAGTTGCTTTGATTGAAGAAAAGAAAAAATATCAAATTATCTCATATGTGAATGCTAAGATACTTAAACATTGACCTAAAAAAAACTAACATACCTAAACAAGTCGAATCAACAAACACTACGTATTTTCTATTCCACATATGAATCTTAGCTATAAGTTTTTGAAGTTAGTGGGATCCTGTACTCTGCGTGAAACTCTTACTGTTTATGATGAAATAGAAAATTATGAATCTATTTCATAAACTGAAATTTAGATTATTTATTTGAATACGCAAAACAAATTGAAATATAAGAATTGGGAAAGTTTCAAACTTTCAACGAAGAGCCCAATTGCACGCATAAAAAAGCTTTGACTCATGAACAAGTATAAAAGTTCGTAAGATAAGAAAAGAAATAAAATTCAGCAGCACAAAGTTAGTAGACCCCTCAACTTCCAAGGGAAGATCAAGTGCTACCCTATTTGCATGGTAACAACCTTTACCTTTTAGAAAGGTAAAGTCTATCTCTACTTTAAGTAGCCCTATCAAGTTCCCAAATTAAGAAAACCAGCTCCAAAAAAGTGAAAGTTTTTTCTTGCATAAAAGTCTGAATATATATATATATATATACACACACACATATTTCGCAGGTTCAAAGAAAAACTGAGTTTGCAGGGACTAATTACCTGCTGCTTGTTGAACTTAACATTTTGAGGAGGGAGATGAGGATGTGTTGTTGGTTGATGGCGTGGATGTCAATGAAGAAAGTAGCTATTTAAAGGGTTACTGATCCTTCAACGGCAATAATCAATTCTAGCATCTATTAGAATATTCCTGCCTTGAACTTCAACCTTGCCTGCTTGAAAGTCAACTCTTGGACAAAGTCTCCCTCGCTCCAATTTCCTTCAATTTATTAACGATTAAATTCTCCATCCGATTAACTCACAGTTTCTTCTTGGCATTTCCTCGATCGGTTATTTTATTCTGATTTACTAGCTTCCAAAGCTCGTTAAATAACACCACTTTTGTATGAACTTACAGAGATGAATGATCTTAACCACTATTTAAGATACAAGTCCATTTTAAATTGTTAATAGTATACATTGAAGAAACAAAAATAGAGTAAACATAGTTGTGGTAAAGGCAAAAAAGTATCTGTTGGAAATTCCAGAGTGTAAATCAATCATTGGAGCACCAGTCACGTTGTAATTTTATTAAAGAGATGCAGAAAAATAAATACAGAACCAGATAAGACGATACGTAGCAACCATGAAGGTAGTGTCGTGCCATTCCGTTATATATTTTAAATAGGAATTTTAACGGAAAGTTTTCGGTATTGTTTATTTTAACGAAAAATCACATTTTTACATTAAAAAGTTAATTATGATACTATTCACTTTATCCTTTATTTTATCCTTATCGTTAAAACTTAAAGTTTTTAAACCATTTTTATTAGTTTTTCTATTTTAAATTGGGTTTCTTGCGCTTATCATATTGCGTGTAAACAATGAAGAGTGAAAGAATTTTTTTTATTCCAATTCATAATATTAATAAATTCCATCATCATCAACATCTTAATTATTATGTTCTGTTAGTTTAATTTTCTATTGCGGATTTGATGTTATATATTTTTTTAATGCTATTTTGGAAGTTGGAAGTCATGGTCTAATATTCATCAATCATGTGAAAGAAAATGGATAACACGAGAAGGACGTTGTGTGCCACTAAAGTAGCAGTGATGCAAGCAAAATGTTCATCAATCGTTTTTTGCCTTTCGTACACTATTTTTTATTTTTGCAATCAGAGAATAAATTAAATTAAAACAACAAAAATTATATTTTTTTTTACAAACTATAGCGTCGGTGCATTAATTTGTTAGTTGTTGTGGGGGTGGGGGAGATGATCGAATCCACATTATGGTGCATAGATATAATTATTTTTCGTTATTGTGGTAAAATGTCATCTACAAAACAACAAAATAATTAAACATAGATGTCTAAAAGAAAATAAAACAAAAAACAAAACAAAAAAGAGTTTTTATCATTTTTCTCGTCTAAATTGCTTTTTACACTTCAAGAGTTCCACTTGCATTTTTAGTTTTGTGTTTGTCTTTAGGAGTGCAACATGAAGTGACTTCTGTTTGTGAATTTTAATCGTGCCGACATACAATGGTAAGACACATCACCTGACCAGCTCGGTTGGTTGTTACAATTTATACCCAATTTTGCACTATCAACCCATATGTTTGGAGCGGTAAAATTAAAAGATCAAGATGATTTTCAGCCTGCGTTCCTGGTTTTGGACTAGTTGGTTGACAGACCAGAAAGAAAGATCTGAGTCTCGGCTCAGTAATGTATTGCATGGCCGAATCCTATGTGAAGTAGAATCGCTTAGAGATCAAGATTGGTTTCTGGCGTGGCTGAGTCTAGTCGAAGTAAGACTATTTGAGGATCAGAGTTGGGTTTTTTGGAAAGATTGGGGACGATCAATAGATTAATTTATGGATAAAGTATGACTTGATCACATAATAAGTCTAGGTTGGAATTCCTAATTTGAGTCGAAGTAGGCGAGACTCAGTGGTAATTGAGTTTCGGTGGGAGAATGATTTGTAAGAATATTAAGGATAATTCCAAGTATGTCTAAGATTATATTTTGAGAATACTATCAAACTCTACAACTTGAACATCAAGTAATCTGTTCCTATAAATGCAAGAGTTTGGCAAAGTGAGAAGTACCCTCTTCTTCTTGTATCTTTTGTATTTCAATTTATATTTATTGTTTACTACGACCGGTAAGGTTTATATCTCTGACAAAATGTTAACATGTTATTAGGTTAAGTCCAGTCTATTATCTTTTATCCACTTTTATTTCCATTACAGGCATTTAATAATTAAAAATATTATAGATAAATTAAAATGTTCTAATTTCATGCATATCTTCTAACAAAAAAAAATAAAAATAAATATATGAACACAAATCCATCTGCAGAACATACGACCCTAAGTCAAGTAACAAATATATGAATGCATATTTCACCTATAAGCGAGAAACCTAGATAAAAGGTATACAAATATAATATACTTATAAGCAAGACATATTAATTTGTAATACAGGTTGATTATAAAAATGAATATGTCATATGGGTAAATCAATACAATAAATATATAATATAGGTTGATTATAAAAATTAAATAAATAATCTATAAATGGAGTTTGGAGTAGGAAGAAGAATAAGAAATAATAAAATAAAAAGTGTTGTGGGTATAATTTACTGAACAATTATGGAGGCCATAGAGAGAGGGGTGCGGCATTAGTAGAGAGAAGAGAGAGATGTGTAATTGTGAGGTGTGTTCTATTCCACCTCATTGTGCCTTTATTTATAGTAGTAGGGAAGGTTAATTCCTTACCCTTTTAGGATTACAACTCTTAATAGGTAATCAACTCCTTATAGGAATATAAAAAGATATTCCTAGATCTACTAAGATTTACACAATCACATTCCTAATATAATAGGACCGCAACACTTCCCCTTGAGTGTGTAAATACTCAAGTAAATAGTGCATCATGTCTTCAGCGATGAAGTAAAGTTGATGAAGTTGTCAACACAATGAGCAAATGTGAGTCTCAGATCAATGGAAGAATGCATAAAAATGTAAAACTCATAAAACCTTGCTATGGTAAAACCTAAGGTGGGGGGAAAACCCATAGTCTAAGGAGAAAAGTGAGAAGTTGCATTAACTCAAAACTATATGTCTTTTGGACGCAAGTAAAAGAGCTCACAAGGGTATAATTAGCCTAGGATGAGTGCCTCGTTAAAACTTAGTTAGGTAGTAAAAACCCAGTGGGAAAAATGCTTCTAATCATAGGGAAAAAGAGTACATTAAGATCAAGTGAGTATACTTCTGGATACTCCCCCTGAGTTTGACATAACTTCCAAATGAGAACTACAAGCATTGCATATGATAGTTAGGCATAGCAATTCCTCGGACAAGCTTCTGGAAGGTTGACTTCAGTAGTGATGTCATGTAGAGGTCGGTAAGGTTGTCTGGGATCAGCTTGCATGACTTCAATCTCTGATGCTTTGTTGATGTAGATGTAGACGCAATATGTCTTGACATTGACTTCGTTAATGTATCATGTCTTGGTCGGGTGGATACATACGGCATAATCTTCATGGATCGTCGTTGGTACTTAACGATGGATGAAAACACATCAAGTACTTCAAATATGCTCAACAATAACTCCTAACCATGTCTCACTTATGGCATAGTGAAGCAAGGTGAGTCTTGGAATGATTTGAATATTTCGCAACTAAGGTCATATCATGGATTTCCAAGATATTTCGCAACTAATGGTAAAGACATAACCATTCGGGGATTTTCCTTGTGCAGGTTTGATAAGTAACCAGCGTCAACATAACAAAGAAGGCAAGCATCATTTTAAGGATCATGGGGGTTGGATCTATTGGAGATGCGTTGGCTGCATCTTTACCAAGATCAATAGCGAATGAGATGTCATATCTTAATACAATGAGTTAAGTATAATGAAGCAGAAAGTTGAACTTAGATATGGAATTTCGGATTCCATAACCTCTTCAAGGGTCTCATTTGCATATAACGTATGGACGATCACAAGTATATTCAAAGGTAACACCTTCAGAGTATAGTTCGACTAGTAGACCAAAATACTGTCAGAACAATGCTTCAATCTTTAGGTCAAGGCATAGATGAGTTTTCCCAAGATCCTTCATCTCAAATTCCATCTTTAGGTGCGAAGCAGTTTTCTCAAGCTCTTCCAAAGTCTTTATGAGAATCGTGTTAACGACATAAACTGTAACTCTAGCAATTCGAATAAGACTTTATGGTTTAACACGCAAGGGCATAATTCATCCATGATTGATCAAATAATCACTTAGATAGGTATACCACATCCGTCGGATTGTAAGTGAATGCCTTAAACAATTTAAGAGGGTGTTCCGTGGTTTGGAACTATTTGAACCAGTTTATGTAATTCTTTGGGAACTTACATGTAAATCTCCGTATCAATATCCCAATGGAGAAAACACTAATCACATTTCATAATGCTGCTATCAATCATAGGATGTTTTAGAGAAATCTTGCATCGTAAAGCGTGCATCATATTGCATTATTTCATTCATCTCATAACGCTTCCTTTCCCACTTGTAACAATAGGGTTACCTTGGGCGGTGTAGGAACGACAGGTCCAAACACACTTTGGTAAGGAATTTGACCTGGATTGTAATTTCAGTTGTCCAATCAGTTTCTATGTTGTCACTTAATCAATGGAACACGGTTCAATGTCGTCGTTTTTCATTTATGTTTGTAGCTACCATATAACTGAAAACATCATCGATGGTAATCTCATTTCAATTCCATTTAGCTCATCCAAACTAGTATACTAGACTAAAAACTTCAAGTCTCAGGAGTAATCCAGATTAATCTTATGAGATGGAAATGATTTGAGACAACGATCAAGTATGGACTCATTATTGTGCCATGTCTTCCTCTTCTAGGGAAATGAATCATACACACTGAGTGATATGTCATGCTCCAAGCTAAGATAGATTGATTGGCTATCCACTGGTGTACTGGACCGTCCAACAGGGGCGTCCAACCATCCAACAGGGGCGGCACACCCTTCAAGGATGTTGACTCGACGTCCGCTAAGTACGTCTATCCTTGCAGCCATGTTTACAGCTGGTATATGATCTCGTCACTTTAGCTAGATCAGAGGAATGTGTCTAGAGCAACATTCTGTAAGTGAGAATTTATCGCACTAGCTTATCACACTTATGCGGTTTGGGGATCGAG